TCCCTTATCACCATGGCTTCGTAAACACACATCACTGAACTGTTCTACATCACACTGCCTTTAGCTGAACATATCTTCCAATCCTACACCTCTTATCCCAGAAAGTCCAAGTGGAGAAGTCGTTAAAGAAACTCTAGCACCAATTTCCTCTCCTGTGTCAGAGTCCTCACTGCAACACTCTCCAAGAGATGAAGAACTAGTGTCCTCTCCCATTCAAAACATAAGACCATTAGAATAAGAAGAAGAGAGAACAAGCTGAAAACACGCTGACAAAAGCTCCAAGACACCAGATGATGACCAGAGCTCAATCAGGGATCTTTAAACCAAGGAACATGCTACAAGACTTCTAACTATTCAAAACAGTGATAGCAAGAGACCTTACAACACCTACTTCCATCGCTGAAGCAATCAGAATTCCTCACTAGAAGTCAGCTATGGAAGAAGAACTATCTGCACTCAGGAATAATCAAACATAGAAGCTGGTTCCTCATCAACCTGAAATGAATCTGGTTGGCAACAAATGGGTTTATAAAATCAAGACCAATGCCGATGGAAGTTTCCAACGGTGCAAAGCTAGATTAGTGGCAAAGAGTTTTCATCAAACACCTGAAATAGACTTCTATCAAACCTTCAGCCTAGTGATTAAGGCATTAACACTTCGAGTGATCCTGGTGTTAGCCGTAACAAACGGTTGGAATATCAAACAGCTGGATGTAAACAATGCTTTCCTGAATGGAGAATTAAAAGAGACGGTATTTATGAAATAACCTGAAGGCTTCGAAGATCACAAACACCCCAACCAAGTTTGTTAACTCAATAAAGCGCTGCATGGTCTCAAACAAGCTCCAAAAGTGTGGTTTGACAAGCTCAAATCCTCACTAATTGAATGGGGTTTCAGAAACTCACAAGCAGACACCTCTCTCTTTCTCTTCCTCGCAGGGATAACCCAAATCTTCATCCTAATCTATGTTGATGACATAATAGTGACAGGAAATCAACCAGAAATAATGCAAAATGTCATCAACCGACTTCACAACTCTTTTGCACTCAAAGACCTTGGAGACATCCATCTTTTCCTTGGAACACGTGATGACACTAGTCTATTTCTCACCCAAACAAAATATAT